TCAGTCATTAACTCCTTTTCCACCCTTAACTTCAGTCGCAGAAACACTTTAAAGTGTTTTATGTGACATAGTCAGAGTAGTATTATCATCATCCAACTAAACAGCAAAAAATGCTCTATACTAATGTCACATAAGCCCATATCTGCACATAATAGTGATACCTGCACATAATTTAAGTCTCGGATGACAGTGAATTTGTGGATAGTGTTTTCAATGTTTCTAGATTTTACATTTTTAAATTACAGATTGTTGTTTACATCCCAAGCCACTGACATTTGTTTCTCGTAATCGCAGACATTTTCATTACCATTTCATCACATATCATATGAAGCAGCTCACTTCATTCATGGTTCTGACGGTGTTGCTTGCAATTAATAACCCCGCTTCTTTCACATGAACGAACTTGTGGCTGGATAGGAAAACCCAGAGTTAACTGAACTGTTTGATAACCAGTTTTGTAGTACCGGTTATCCAGGCTGCCAGTGTTAGGGTTGGTCAAACCAGATAACAAGAAGAAGACGTTGAACTGGCTTCGTAATACAGGCCTCAGGTCAGCAAGTGATTCTGCACCTCTGCTCTGTTGTTATCACACGTAAAGACCTTGCTGGCTGTTTACTCACAACTGACATGTATGTGGAAGCCTGGGGTGCATATTTTATCATTTATTATAATGAGATTATTTATAACATTTCTAATATAGCCTTTCTATCCTACATAATGGATCTTCGGTGTGTTTTCCTGCCAGATTAGCTCGCAAAAAAAGTACACTAGACACCAAAACTATGGCTGCAGATCTCTAGCCGGTGTCGGAGCTCGGGGTGAACAGCTCCATTGCTCAAGATGAGTGTCAAGAGTATGTAGGGCTGCTTCAGCAGGGCTCGAGACTAACTTTTTTTTAGTCAGAGCACTGTAGCCTCGAACTGAAATATTTTAGGAGCACAAGCAGAAAATTGTGCTGCAATGCAATTATTCACATTTTTTGCCATTTTTACTGTATCATAAACTATATGTAGTCCACTGTCTATAAACATTGGACTGCTTTAATTATTGAAGTATTTAACATCAGAGACTTGTGGTCAGTGGGAGGTGAGGATTCTCAAAATAACATCTGTACAGATGTGAAGCCCTGACTATATCTGACTGATCTTTAATGAAAGCTGTTGTCTTGTTTTTTTCCTCCGAGAAAAAAAACAAATCTAATAGTCAGACCCAATTTTTTACCCTATGTAGTTGACGGGACAGGTCTGCTCTGCGGCAGCAAACTGATATGATGCTGATTTACATGAGAATTCATGTGCGATGGAGGTTGAACCATGAAAAGAAATTACAGAAAGCCTGTAAAGCATTTTAATAAATCAGTGTATCATAATTAAAAAAAATAGAAGACTGAGAGCAAACTGATATCCGAGTCTGAATAATTTCAGAAATCTGCCTCATTGAAAGTCATCATCATATTGTGCTTCTGTGACTTCCTGTATGGACTGAAGGCTGGAAACTGTCGGGAAACTGGCTGTATCCAAATATCTGAACTACACCATACTGGCGCATGCCCAGGAAGTCTGGGAGTGCTTAGGGCTGTCCAAGCTACAATTCATGTAGTCCATAAGGGGCCTCAAGCAGACTTTTGGCGGACTTCCAGAGAGCCTGCCTGGGATGCAGACTTCAACAGACTTCACTGATTTAATAACCCACAATTCATTGCAATATGGATGTAACGCTGTGGGTTTTTCTACTGCAGGGGGGAAAAAACATATGAAAGTGTAAAATAGTTATTGATAGTTAGGCCTACTAAACGCTACTTGAATCGTGTAGGCAGTGTTCAACATAACATTTTTTCCCCACTGGCCCCCTGGGCCAGTAGTTCAGAGTTTTACTAGCCCCTTGTTATTCTTACTGGCCCAAGTAAAAAAAGAGAGAGAGAGAGAAAAAAATGTCTATAAAACTTAATTTAATTTAACTTCATTTCATTTAACTCCATTATACCTCATCGTAGTGCGTGATGGTATATACAGCAGTCCTCACAGAAGCCGATGTATGATGTCACAGCCTCTGTGTACTCATCCACTTCTTAGATGACCTCACAACAGGTTTACAGAGCTTTAACTTTGCCTGTATGAGGGAATCAGGTGGACGGTGGCGTGGTCAGAGTGGCCCAGTACAGTGCAGGGGATGGCGTGATAGGGGTTGTTAACAGTTGTGTAACGGTGATCCAGGATATTCTTCTCTCTGGTCGGACATTTTATAAATTGTTTGTATTTGGGGAGTTCATGGGTGAGGTTACCTTTGTTAAAGTCGCCCAGGACAATAACTAAAGAGTCTGGGTAAGTCTGCTCCACACACAGTAGCCTATCTAGTCAGCGAGTGTGCGCTGTAGCCTACGTCCTGCGGTGGGATCAGGGTCCAAAACTAACCTTTTCACTTACCAGCCAGCCTGGCTGGTAAGTGAATTTTTTTACCAGCCAGGCAGATATTTTACCAGCCAACCAAATAAAAATTGCTTTTTAGTGTTGTAATTTGCTATCAGTATTATTTAGCATGTCATTCGGGTCTTGCATGCGATTCTCAATCAATATTTTATTAGTGTGCACTAATATTAGTAATAATGTATGCTAAAATATGAATAACTGTTCCAACAGTTAAGTGTAATATTTGGGTTAATAAATTCTGTAGTATTCTTACTACAGTGCAAAATAATCTTTCATTAAGGAATTTTACATGAATCACTGACTTCAGTCCCCCTTGGACAGTTGAGACATAAGATTTTAGCTCGACCAGACTGCAACAGCAGGGCCCATAGACATATATACATAGACGCCGCATCGAGCGCTGAGCCGTACGTCAACGACACCGCCATATTGGATGTGGCAAGGCTGCGCTGTAAACTAATAGAAGTGAATGGACTTAATTTCATAAAGCCCATTCAAAGAAATTTACGTTAATGCCTCTCGTTTATTCATTCACACACACACTAATATACTTTGGAAACAGTTAGGCACCAAAAACAATGTATTTGATCTTCTCAGATGGCTAAGATAAGAACTTTATTGATCCCACACAGGAGTAATTCACCTTACATCAGCTACAGAGAACAAGGTAGTGCCGAAAAACAATACACAGTACACATATATACATATAGACCTATATGTATGTATGTATGTATATATATATACATACATACATACATATAGGCCTATATGCATGTATGTATGTATGTGTGTGTGTG